TTTCCCCCCCCTATAAGGGTAGTACCTGTCATAAAAGATTAGGATCCACCGAGATTATACTTTTTTTTTTTTTTTTTTTTGGTACCAGGAATCCAACTCATGACCATAGGCTTGCCAGGCAAGAGCTTATGCCGCTGAGCTATATCCCCGGCCCCAGGACCTTACTTTAAACATGTTTAATCCAGGCGTGGTGGTACATGCCTATAAACCCAGCACTCAGGAGGCTGAGGCAAGAGCATCACCACCAGTCAGTTCAAGGACAGCGTGACCTATATAGTGAGTTCAAGGCCAGCCTAAACTACAGTGAGACCCTGTCTCAAAAAAAAAAGCCCCACAATGAGACACTATTATGAATCCACTAGAATGGTTAAAATTAAAAACAGAGATATTACTAAAAGATTGTTGAAGCTGTACAGAAACCAGAATCTGTAGATGTTGGTGGGATTATAAAATGGTATCGGGGAAAAATGCCTGGTAGTTTCTTCCTTTCTCTCTTTTGTCTTTTTGAGACAGGGTCTCCCTATGCAGTTCAGGCTGGCCTTGAACTCATTGTGTACCCCAGGCTGTCCTCAACTCTTGAGATCCTCCTGCCTCAGGTTCCTGAGTGCTGGGATTACACATGTGTACCATGATGCCCTGGTTTTGTTTTTTTTTTTGGAGGGGGGGTCTTTTTGTCTGGCAGTTTCTTATGAAATCAAATATGCACCTATTCTACGACTAAGCAATTCTACTCTTAAGTATTTACCTATGCAAATGAAGGTGTATGGCCACAAAGCAACCTATACAAGAATCTTCTTGGCAACTTTATTCATCCTAGTCAAGCTGGAAACAAGTGACACACCATCCATTGGAGAATGTTCCACAAACTGTAACAGTCACACAGAATGAGATTTAAAAAGAAAGAAAGTAAACTGGGCATGGTGGTACATGCCTGTAACTCCCAGTATTTGGGAGGCTGAGGCATGAGTTTGAGACCAGCTTGGGCTCCACAGTGAGTTCAAGTCCAGCAGCTTGGGCTACAAGAGTGACACCCTGTCTCACTATGCAGTTCAGGCTGGCCTTGAGCTCACTCTGTAGCCCAGGGTGGTCTCAGACTCACAAAGATCTTCCTGCCTCAGCCTCCCGAGTGCTAGGATTACAGGCGTGTACCACCACGCCCAGCTCAAAATATTTTTTCAAAAAAGGAAAGAAACAAACTATTATCAACACAAGAATGAACCTCAAATCCCATGCTGAGAAAAACAAACTTCTACAAAACAATACAGACTGCCCCATTACTGTTGTGGGTTAAACTGTGCCTCCCAACTGGGCATGGTAGCCCAGCCTATAACTCCAGAACTCAGAAGCCTGAGGTCAGAAGACCCCTGGGAGTTCACCGCTAGCCTGGGCTACACAGTGTTTATTCTTTTTTTTGTCTTTTTGAGACAGGGTCTTGCTATGCAG